GGGATCCAGATTGAATCCCACATCGGGCTCCCTGCAGGGAGCCTGCTTTTCCCTCTGCCTGTGTCTCTCTGTCTCTCTGTTTCTCATGAATAAATAAAGAAAATCTTTAAAAAAAAAACTCATGTTATTAAACAATGAATGAGTCAACCAAGAAATCAAAAAAGAAATTAAAAATTAGGTGGAAACAAATGAAAATGAAAACACAATGGTCCAAAATCTTTGGGATGCAGCAAAAGCAATTCTAAGAGGAAAGTTTATAGCAATGCAAGCCTACCTCAAGAAGCAAGAAAAATAAAAAAAAAATAAAAAAAAGAAGCAAGAAAAATCTCAAATAAACCAGCTAACTTTACACCTAAAGGAGCTCAAAAAGGAAGAACAAAACCCAAACCTAGTAAGAGGAAAGAAATAATAAGAATTAGAGCAGAAATAAAAGACATAGAAACTAAAGAAATCAATAGAAAAGATCAATGAAACCAGGAACTGGTTCTTTGAAAATATCAACAAAATTGATAAACCTCTAGCAAGACCCAAAAAGAAGAGTGAGAGAGAGAAAAATGGAGGAGAAAGGACCCAAATAAGCAAAATTACTAATGAAAGAGGAGAAATAATAACCAGCGCCACAAAAATACAAGTAATTGTAACAGAATATCATGAAAATCTATTTTCCAACAAATTGGACAACTAGAAAGAAATGAATGAATTCCTAGAAACACATAAGTTATGAAAACTAAAGCATAAGGAAATAGAAACTTTGAACAGACCAATTATCAGCAATGAAAAATCAATCAGTAATAATAATAATAAAAAAAAAATCCCAGCAAACTAAAGCTCAGGACCGGATGACCTCACAGGTGAATTCCACCAAACATTTGAGGAAGAGTTAATATCCATTTTTTTCTTGAACTATTCCAAAAAAATACAAGAGGAAGGAAAACTGGAAAATTCATCCTATGAAGGCCAGCATCACCCTGATACCAAAACCAGAGAAGACACTACAAAAAAAAAAAAAAATAAGAGAGAGACTCTAAGCTAATATCTCTCATACATATAGATGCAAAAAATCCTCAAAAAAATATTAACAGACCAAATCCAACAATATATTTTTAAAAATCAGATACCACAGTCACGTGAAGTTTATTCCCAGGATGCAAGGATGGGTTTAATAATATTTGCAAAGCAATCAACATGATATGTTATATCAGTAAGAGAAAGGATAAAAACCATATGGCCACTTCAGTAGATGCAGAATGAAAGTGATGAGAGTGGATATCCAGTAATCACACTACTAGGTATTTACCTGAAGAACACAAAAACACTAATTCGAAAGGATACATGCTCTTATGTCTATTGCAGAATTATTTATAATGTCATAACTTATAACATTAGAATATTATTTATAATAGCCAAACTATGGAAGCAGCCCAAGAGTCCATCAATAGATAAATGGATAAAGAAGATGTGGTGTATATACACAACGAAATGTTGGTCAGCCATAAAAATGAATGAAATCTTTCCATTTCCAATAGTATGAATAGGGATAGAGAGTATAATGCTGAGTGACATTAAGTCAGTCAGAGAAAGACAAATACCACATGATCTTACTCATATATGGAATTTAAGAAACAAAACCAATGGCAAAGAGAGAGAGAGAGAGAGAGAGAGAGAAATCAGGAAACAGACTTTTAACTATAGAGAACAAAATGATGGTTACCCAAGGGGAGATGAGTGTATGGATGGGGGAAATGGGAGATAGGGATTAAAGAGTGCACATATTATGACGAAAAAGAAAAGAAAAGAAAAGAAAGAAAGAAAAATAGATATATACAATTTATTGGCACACAAGAAAAATATTTTGTATGAAAAAGCTGGAGTTTTAGAGGTGCAAACATCTAAAAGTTTGCAATTATCGAGTCAAAGATACACGTGTATTTAAATCATAATGATTTCTTTCAAAATTTTCTGATTGTAAACTTTTAGGTATATTGGTAAAGTTGGAGGTTTTTGAGGTTGACATTTGGATTGGTTGGTTGTTCATAAGCTTTGCTGCTGCCCTAAATGAGCTTAGTCTGCTACTGCCCTGGTGTGAATCAATGTGTATATTTACACCTTGCAGCAGTCGTGTGAGATAAGGAGTATGAGCCTCAGAATACAGATACCGATATTACAGGGTACGAGAGTTCACACATTTTCCAAATTTTCACTTAATACGTGGCAGTACTACTACTCAGTGATACCGAGCAGTACTCAGTTCAAATTGAGACGCAATGGCTAATAACCTTAAGCTTTGTGGCCAGTCAACAGGCTTTGAGCTTCTTAATTTAAAGGCCAATGGTGCAGTGTCAGGCTCTGTCCTGCATCTGACATTATTTTGCACTTCTCTACTGAGTGCCAATAAAGACCTCTGGTCCCCTTGGTCACTCATGCTCTATTTGTACTCTCTGCTCCTTGTCTTTGCTGGACTGTGCCTTCACTCGTGCTCTTCCGGTGGCTTAGTTTGGAAATTACATTAACAATCTATTTTGTACAACCACTTAAAATAACATGGTGTCCTTCCAGGTCCAGAGAAAATGGTTTCACCTAGCGAGGTGAAGGTCTAACTTCATCTCACACTATCTTTTTCTTTTTTTTTTTTTTTAAGATTTTATTTATTTATTCATGAAAGACACAGGCAGAGACATAGGCAGAGGGAGAAGCAGGCTCCCTGCTTTGATCTCAGGACCTGGGGATCACGCCCTGAGCCAAAGGCAGATGCTCCATGGCTGAGCTGCCCAGGTGTCCCTGTCTCATACAATCTTTTAATCAATGCTTTGGTTTTTAAGCCCTTAACCTTCATTCTGAGCCTTCAGAGGAAGCCAGGGCCTGGAAATCCGGACACATTCCAGGTTTCTGAAGAGGAAATCCTTTTCCTCCACCAAAAGCAGTTAAATTAAGAACCCTCCCCACCCTAAAGTGACCCTGTAAGTCATATAACCATGAATCCATCTTCTTTCCATTCTCTCATTTGGTTTCTTTGCTCCTATTCTTTTCATCCTTGTGGGTTTTTACCACCACTGTCACTGTCACTCTTTGATTCTCTTTCAGTAGGGTTCTAGGAATGGATGTGAGTATTCAATTTGTCATAGTTTATTGGAAGTCTAAAATCTGTCTTCCTTCCTTCCTTCCTTCCTTCCTTCCTTCCTTCCCTTCCTTTCCTTCCTTTTCTTCTCTCTGTTTCTCCCTAAATAGGAAGATGATCCACTTGGTGCAAAAACCATGCATTTCAGAGTCAGATTCCCTACTTTATTCAAGTCTTGACACAGAGAGAAAATGATACTATTTGTAGAGTATGCTGGGGTGAGGGACAGGAATGGGGTGAACTGACCCGGAGAGAGCCCTCTGCCTTGAGACCCTGATAATCAGTGCCATTGGCACACAGGTATTTAAAGGTGCCCGGGGCTGCCAAGCTCTGAGCATTAACAACGTCTGAATCCTGTTTCGGGGTGGGCATCATTGCAATACAATAGGGGATACTTTGGAATCAAGGGAGCTTACATACCAGGGAGCGGCATTAAGCAACTGGGCAGAAGAGAGGAGGGAGCTGGGGGGTTCAATGGCTTGATTTCTGGGTTCAAGGTGTGGTGAATGTCTTTTGCTATTGGAAATCCTTCGACCGGAAGCCTTGGGAAGGAATCAAGTCGGCGGCAGGTGTCAGGAGAAAGTGTAGGGCCTTGTTTCTCAGTTGAAAGGGAATAACTGAAGTGATTATTTAAATTTTCTTTGGTTTGCATTAGACTTATCTCTGCTCGGTTTAACCTTTATCTCCACGGTATTCTTTTCCTGCAGAGTAATCTGGTTCCAGCTTCTCAAGTTTACAATCCTTCCTGGGGGTCGGGGCCTCCCACTATTTGTCACCTCAGATTTGAGAATACACATCTCTCGGCTTTCAACCCCAAGTGCTCGGGCAAACAGGATCGCATCCGGGTTTCCCTAGGGTGTAGGACGCAGTGAAGGAGCTTTTAGAAGGTTAAACCCGGGCGGTCATCGACCCTGCCTTTCTCTTGTGCTTTTCCCCACCTTCCTCTTTGTCTTTTGTTTGATTCACTTGATCGCTACTTGGGTCCTCTTTCCGCTTTGTTTTTATAACAGCATCCAGAAAAGGGCCCCCCCAAACTCCAAAGAGGCACCTCGGGAGATGCACCAAGGCCTGTGGGGGAGTCCGGGCCGCAGGGGAGGGGCCCTGGGGGGGGCTGGGGGGAGGGGCACTCGGGGGGCCCTGGGGGGAGGTGCCCTGGGGGGAGGGGCTCCCCAGCCCAGAGGCCGCCGCCCCCCGGCGCTGCCCCTCCGAGCAGCCGCCCGCACCCTCGCCTGCAGCCGTCCCGGCTCCTGGAGCCGCTCCAGGTGTTCCGAGCAGGCTCTGAGCTCGGGGAGTAGAGCAGTCGCGGGGCCCCGGGCCGTCGGGTCGCGCCGCAGGCCGCAGAGGCCTCCCCGCCCGCCCCTCTGGGCAGGGGACGCCCGCGAGCCGCGCCCCGACCGGCGCCCCGGGGTCCTGCGAGGTCGGGGACCAGCGCCGCCCGCCCCCGCTCCCGCCCCCGGGCTGCCCCCGCCCCCGCCCCGCCGCTCCGCGCCGGCTTCTTCCCGCAACTCCGGCCCCACTGCCAGCGCCCCCCTCCCGGGGCCCGGGACCCCGGGAGCCGCCCCCCCCCCCCTGACCCGGGAGCCGCCCCCCCCCCCGCGGGAGGCCCCCGCCCCCTCCGGGAGCCGCCCCCGCCCCCTCCCGGGAGCCGCCCCTCCGCCCCCTCCGCCCCCTCCCTGGCCCCCCTAGAGACCGCCCCGCCCCCCAGCCCCTCCCTGCCCCCGCGGAAGCCGCCCCCCCCCGAGTCGCCCCGCCTCCCCAGCCGCCCCGCCCCCCCGCGGGAGCCTCCCCCTCCCCCAGCCGCCCCGCCCCCTGCACCCCGCCCCGGGCACCCCCCTCCCCAGCCGTGCCCCACCCCCCGCCCCCCGGGACGCGCGGTCGGGAGCGCGGGCGGCGCACCTGCGGGGCCGGGGTGCGGGCGATGAAGCCGTCCTGGCTGCAGTGCCGCCAAGTCGCGGGCGCCGGCGGCCTCGGGGGGCCCCTGCCCGGGTCCCGCCCGTCCGCGCGGGGAGCCGGCCCGGCCCGCAGGGCTCGCGTGGGGCCCGGCGCGCGGGGCGGCCTCGGGGGCGCGGGCTGCCGGGCGCTGGCGGCGGGCGGCGAGTACCGGAGCCACTTCGCGGCGGCGGCGGCGGACCCCGAGCGGTTCTGGGGCGCGGCGGCCGAGCAGATCAGCTGGTACAGGCCCTGGACCAGGACGCTGGACGACCGACACCCGCCGGCCGCCAGCTGGTGAGTGCCCCGGGCGCCCCCCCGCCGGCCCCCCGCCGGCCCCCCGCCGGGGCCGGGCCTGCGATGGGGAAACCGAGGCCCGAGGGGCGCGGCCCCTTGCATCTGCGTGTCACTTCGACTTTATAGGGACGCCGGGGGGCTCGGCGGTGGGGCGTCCCCCAGCCCAGGCCGTGACCCGGGGTCGCGGGATCGAGTCCCCGTCGGGCTCCCTGCGCGGAGCCTGCCGCTCCCTCTGCCTGTGGCTCTGCCTCTCTCTCTCTCTGTCTCTGTGTCTCATTAATAATTTTTTTTTTCAAAGTTAAACTTTACAGTCAACTCTCCTGCCTTCTCTTGAGGGACTGGGTTACCCACTGCGAGCCCCATTTCCCTTAGACCAGAGGTCGTGCGGCGTGGCAGGGCTCCCCCGGGCACCGAGGACGTCGCACCGACTAAAACCAGGGCCTGTCCCCAGGGACGGACCCCAAGGCAAGCAGCGTGGGACAAAGGAGGGAAGTGTGACCGGGTGTCCACACCGCAGACAGGGAGAGAATGGAGGAAAGGCTTCAGTGAAACCGCACCGCCGTGGGGCCTGGAAGGGTGGGTGTATGGCCTCAAGGTGCACAGGGAGCCCATTCCCAAAGACTCGGGTGGAAAACAGGCCGCGCTGTCACTGTCACTCTGGTTGCAAGTAGCTGTGTGGCTGGAAAGGTGGGAGAGGGGGTGGTGGACCAGGGGTTGAGCTGGGATGGGCTTGGAGTTGATCCATCGCCCTGTTGTGGGTCTGAAACCGGAATAGGAGGTACTGCAAAAGTATGCACAGATAGGCCAGGAAATCACAGTAAGAATAATTTTTTTTTTTTTTGTCTAGAGTTGCAATTATAAGTGGCTATAAACAGTATTTTTACATTACAACACAACAGAGATACACTGTGGAGTAAATGCCAGCCTTGTCAGGGTACTGAGGGTGAGGGTTAGTTGTGGGTGCTCGTTAGGCCCTGTGGCTAGTCCTTAAGAATGTGGTTGCCATCTGCCAGCCGTTAGGGAAAGAGGTTTCCTGTAAAAGTTTGAGAAACACAGTGGGGATTCCCAGATTTCCAAATTCCCAACAGGGAGATGGGGGGGCAGGGGATGACACAGGTTTGCTTTTGACAAATACTTCCTGGTTGAGAGCAGGAGACATGGATGGGAGAAAGGCAAGCCAACCAGGACCTGTTCTGGATGGTCACCGTGACCTCTCTCTGTTGTTTGGGACTATTTACATAGTTTACCTTTTAGAATCTGAGCTCCTTTTCTCTTCTGGTTCCATGTTTTCAGTCGTGTTCGACTGGCCCTCTTTTGTATACCTGGCAGTGACCCAAGCACTCTGTGGATGTGGAGGTCTCCGTACCCGTATGTGCCTGTGAGCCCTGATGGCTAAGAGTGTGGTGGATGAAGCCGGAGACGGTTTGAGACCTGGCTCTCCCACTTCCTGGCTGTGTGTGCACAGCTAAGTCACTTAACCTCTCTGCTTCAGTGTTCTCATACGTAAATGCAGAAGTGGTCCGAGGATCAAATGGGTAAAGAATTAAGACCATGGTTCAGATGAAACCGACTTGCTAAATGTTGAAGGAGGAGTAGCCGACCTTGCGCTCTTAGAACACAATCATTTGGGGATCCCTGGGTGGCGCAGCGGTTTGGCGCCTGCCTTTGGCCCAGGGCGCGATCCTGGAGACCCGGGATCGAATCCCACATCGGGCTCCCGGTGCATGGAGCCTGCTTCTCCCTCTGCCTGTGTCTCTGCCTCTCTCTCTCTCTCTGTGACTATCATAAATAAATTAATTAAAAAAAAAAAAAAAAAAAAAGAGGGGCCGGGTGAGGGTGCCTGTGGACTGGGCGGGGAGACAGAGGAGAAATTTCGGTCCAGGCCAACAACAGGAGGTGGTACTGGAGCCAATTAAAGTTAAAAAAAAAAAAAAAAGAAAAAGAAAAAAAAAAAGAACACAATCATTTCAGGAGCAGGAAACCCTCCTTGTGTTTTTCAGATCAAAGCAGAGATTATGGTCTTTTCTAAGAGTGGGTTCTCAAAGTTCTTTCTGTGTCTGCATATCTGTCATGAAGTGTGGTACTGAAAATTATCTGTGTGACCATCCCCACCTTAAAACCATGTGCAGAGAGAAGTTCATTAAAAAGCCATGGGGAGAGAAAAAAAAAAAAAAAGAGAAAAGAAAAGAAAAAAAAGCCATGGGGATGTTCCAAGTAAAAACCAGTGAGGACCAGATGTATGGCAGTGGCAGTGGCAATGGAAGGGAAGCACAGGTTTCTAGAGGGTTGGTTGGGGCTGGGGTTGGTAGGGGCCCCGGTGAGTGCAGCGAACATGGAAGTCAAAGGCCCATCAAATAGGTATTTTAGACCTGGAGTTTTTTGTTTGTTTGTTTGTTTTTAAGATTTTTTGACTTATTTGAGAGAAAGAGACAGCACAAGTGGTGGGGAGGGGCAGAGGGAGAGGAAAAGCAGACTCCCTGGTGAGCAAGGAGCTGAATGTGGGCCTGGGTTCCAGGACCCTGAGATCCTGACCTGGGCAGAAGGCAGATGCTTGACCAACTTGATCTACCCCTGTGCTCCTAGACCTGGAGATTTTTTTCTAACTTGTTTTTTTTGTTTTTTTATTTGTTTGTTTTTTATCTCTAATCGCTTGTGTAAATTTTCTAAAATTGTGTGCATTCAGTGCTTTCAATGAGGATTTTTGCCAAAGGGTCTTTGTATTTTCAAAAATCCAGTACGTTGTAGATTACTGACATTTGATAAACACTATATCTGAACTCTTCATCTTTGTCCTCTTGGAATCACTTGGCCGTACCTGTTTTATAGTGGCCCGAATGATCAAAGTGAATAAAGGTGAATCTTTGAGTCTGTATTTACTTCAGCAGCTGTGATTCAGTCTTGCTAAGAATTTTGGTTTGCAGAGCAGAGTTGGGCAGGGAACTGGAGGTAGGTCTTAAACTTCATCAATAAGCATTTTCAATTTCAAGTAGAATCCATTAGTGTGTTGGACACCTACTTGCAGATACCCCTCACAGGTTAACAGTATTCTATAAAGTTAAATTCAGGGGCAGGACGAAGGTCTCTCTCTCTTTTTTTTTTTTTTTTTTTGTCTTTATATTCCTAGGGTCTGAGGCAGAGCTGACGTATGAGTTTAAAAAATGATAGCAAAATAACAATACGTAGATTTGATGATTTTTGCTTTTATATGTCTTTGGGAGGTGGTAAGGGGATATAGGCACAATTTACTGTGAGAAACACTTGCTTATTTTCTTCGTAGCTGGGATCTGGGCAGTGGAGATGTGGAGAGCCAAATCTTCAAGTAAACTGAGGAGGAGTTGCTGCAGCTAGCTCTCTTCTCCTAGATGGAGCTGACATGGGATGGAGATCTCTGATGCCCTTTGACTTCTTCTTCATTATAATCCTGCCTGTTTTTCATGAAAGTGCAGTCACCTCAGGATCTGTAGGCCTATCAAAAGCTCCAGCACATACATGGTAATGCACCTGGGCTTTCACGTGGCATAACTACCCAACTATCCCTATGTAGTTTACATATGCAGGAGGAGGAACATGAAATAGAAATCTTTAAGGGTGATAAACTGAAGGGACTTGGTCTCGAAAGTGAATAGCCCTGAAAATATATTTCTGGTACCGTAATCTCTGGGATCTTTGAAAAAATAAATCCCAGTTACATGTCGGTACTTTAGGAAGTTGTGAAGAACCACCTTTTCTCACAGTTTGTTGGTTAATTCACATGGTTGACACCTTGTTTTGGGGGTACTAAGGTCTCTATTTTGGAGACTTCGGTGGCAAACTGCAGTCAAAGGTGAAGCAATTAGAATTTCTAATAATTTCTCCAATCCTGGAACAACAAAATGGATGTTTTCGTTATTCTCATGAATTAGACATCCTGCTGCCTATTCTGAAATTGAAATCCAACTGCAATTCTCTGAAGTAAAGATTGGGCAATCCACTTTTGCAATAAGCACTGTGGTTGACTCTTTTGTCTAGGTCATCAGTTTGTTCCTTTCTATGGAAGCATTGCAATCCATTTTTGTTTATTTTTATTTGAATAACATTCCATGATGAGACTGTTATATACTATTTGATTTAGAATTTAACATGTAATAACAGCGACTATAAGCTGAAAAGGAAAAACTCCCAACTAAATGTCGGTTCTTAGGAAATGATTTCAGGTTGGTTAATATTTCTTTTTTTTTTAATAAGACAAAAATTTTTAAAAATATTTATTTATTTATGATAGACACACACACACAGAGAGAGAGAGAGAGAGAGAGAGAGAGAGAGAGGCAGAGACACAGGAGGAGGGAGAAGCAGGCTCCATGCTGGGAGCCGGATGCGGGCCTCGATCCCGGGACTCCAGGATCACGCCCTGGCCCAAAGGCAGGCGCTAAACAGCTGAGCCACCCAGGGATCCCCTGGTTAATATTTCTATAATGAAAAGTGTATAGGTTTTTCGACATGTGAGATCTCAGTTACTTACTAGCTATGAGATAAAGGTTGTTTAATCCCTCCAACTCTTAAAATGGTCCCTAAGAGTTAGACATCAGTCATTCACTTACTGTGTGGATGCTACAGAGAAAATGATGGAAGAGACAGTGAAGGAAGTCACCACATGGCAGCAGGGAAGACATACATTAAGCAAATGATCACAAAGCTATTTATTTAGAATTGCAATAGATACTCTGGTACAATGGGTACAATGGGTAGTGGTGGATGTAGCAAAGCCTCCTCTAGAAGGATCATGGGAGGGGTCTTGAGGAAATGATGGTTAAACTGAGATCCCAATAAGTAGAGATTAGACATGAAACATGGGGAGGAAGATCCCAGGCAAAGAGCACAGCATATGCAAAGGCCATGGGGCATGAAGTAGCCAGTAGTCTGTCTCCCTTATGAATGTATGGGGGATACATTCAAACATCCCCAGCAGATGCCTGAAGCCGTGGATAGTACTGAATGCTCATGTACGGTTTTTTTCTATA